GATGTTTTGATATAGAAAGCAAGACCACCAGTCTTGGAAAAATTAAAAAGAAAAATTTAATTTATTAACTGTTGTTGAGGGATGAATTTGTATGGATGCAAAACCAATGACGTGTGCGAATCCACATCAGCAAGGACACACAACGCTCATTTCCCACATCGAATGTGCAGCTCCTATTTTCTACTAATTGCTACAATGGAATCAACATCGCCAGAAACGACACTCATGCACTTCGTCGGAGACATCGCAAAATGTAACTTACTCCAGCATCTATTTTTACATACATGGTTGGACATAGTTAGATCTATTTCAGAGACATGGCTGGGCATTTCTTGATGGTCATGTCCTTTGCAGCGATATTCACTGTTGTATCCTGTGGCTCCCAACATGGATAAAGAGCCTACTTTACTACATGGATAAAGAGCCTACTTTACTACATGGCTCCCAACAACAGATAAATGGTCGAATTTCTGCATATTCTATCTCACTGGCTCTCGAAGACGGACAAAGAGCCAGCATAACTCGGTACGATAAGCATGAGGCCGGTAACAGTTGCAATCTTGTGATTGAATGGGATGGCTACCCTCCAACGATAAAAATCCATCAAGTAGCGGCCGGCGGTCCCTTGGTGGTCACCTGTGCATGCTAGTGCGGTGCCTGGCGGGCAACAACAACCAAGACAATCCTTTGACTGTGCGGGTACGGCAAGAAGGGCCAACGTTTGTCAGTGGTATCACCCCTTGTCATATAGGAGGTCATAGATGCAATTGGCGTCCCCCTTCCATGGAGACAACTCCACCTTTCTCTATACATATTCACCGCCATGGCAGAGTCTGATTTAATGAGATTTACCCCTTCGCGGCTTGGCAGATTAGTGGGATTGCTCTTCCAATTCCACATAGGTCACATTCCAACTTTGGGCAAAGCTAGCCACTGATGTCCCTTTGGCAATGGGGAAGCTATTCATGACTAACCCCGCAATATGTACATAGGATGGCCGGACGTCATGCACATTATCGCTCTTCTACACAAAGGGACAAAATTACTGATCGCCGATAATCCCAACTCATAACACATATTTTCTATGTCTTATGTGCTAGCAAGTATTGCTGACCAATGAAGTTTGGCTCGGGACAACGATATCACAACACACACCCATATCACTTGTTCCTCATCCTAGTGCAACGCCAACCATGTACAACAGCAATATACTGACGTCAATCATGGCCAGCAAACAAATGAGAGCAACAAATATTCATCCACATAGTCCCCTTCAACACACAAGGGAGTTTCCTTGTAGCTAAGCTACATGTTGGTGTCTGTTCTTAACATAATGGTAGCTAAGCTAAACTTTTATTCTAAGGGCTATTGTAGTACTATTTTGGTTGCTTTGAGTAGGTGACATTATGATAGAATTAGAGAAGAAATTCAACGAATAATCGAAAAGGGAGTTTTTATCTGTAATAGCAATGAGATGTACTTTGGCCATTATTTTCTTCAACTCATCGTTAAATGTGATCATAGTTGTTAGTGTTATAGGTTTTCATTTGTTTCCACTTTATAAATTATTCCTCTGTTTGGTTTAATCATTCATTAGTATAGGTTTATGTTCTATGGTCATTACTTAATGTTCTAGTAATCTATTTTTGCATGATTTAGAGTTTATGGTTTGTTTTATTTCAAGCATCTCATCATTTTATGGCCTTATGCATGTCATCAAACTATTAAACCATGTTCTCCTCAAATGAAAATGGGCTTGCTGCATCACTTGGTTTATGAGAACACTTTAAGAGCAAAAATTAAATGGCTTATGTCTTTATGCATTATTTTGAATCAGATTTGCACATTTGTCTAGGATGACCATATAGGGATGGTATTTTGGTAACTCATAGATTTAGGAATTTTGACTTGGTGGCTTTAAGTTTCATGCATTTGCATCTGACTCATTAGTGATGTGTGTGTGTGTGTGTGTGTATGTGTGTGTGTGTGTTTAGTACAATTAGTTGAAAGATCTTTTTAAGTCTAAAGACTAACAAACAAACTACTTGTTTCCCAAAGAACCGGACACAATAAGACTCATTTAACAATGAATTTACAGTAGGATCCAGATTAACAAGACAACAAATTTTGCATAAAGGTTTAGTTTGAGGTTTTGTTGTATGTAACACTTTTGTTTTTTTCTGGCAAATTAAAAGAAAAAGGTTACATGGGCATGTACACCTTTATCATCCAACAAGTCCTTTCTTTGTTTTTAACTCCTTTTTTTTTCCTTTTTCTTTTTTTAATGATTATAGAAACTTATTATTGTCATATGAAGAAGGCAAGCAAATCTACTATGTTGTGGATTATGTTGTGGATGATGAAGAACCAAGTAGCATGAGTGAAATCGAACAATTGGTATGAATGAAATCAAATTGAAAAGCATGAGTGAAATCAAACAAGCTCTTAAAGATGGAGATACTCAAGAAATTGTTGGTTGGGTGGTCCAAAAAATATTTGAACTAGCTATTTCACTTTTATGAATTAGAGTTATCAATAATGGCAAAGGAGGAAGCTAATGGAATGTAAGGGGTGAAAGGCTCTTTGATGTATTGTGAGATACATTTCTCACATTTGTACTATGTTTAAGTCATTTGATTTTGATGTAAAAGGATTAGATTATCCCTTGTAAATAAAAAGTTTTACTTGGTTGTTCAATAAACAAAAAAAAAAAAGCAGTGAAAGTCTAGATTTTGCACATCTCAATGATGTTTACAGTATTATTGTTTACTTTGTACAACACTCTAAATACTTTACCAAATTTATTTGATGATATCACATGCCACATTATTTGAACAAGTGGCTATGATTAAGTCATGTTAGACTTAATGTTACTAACTTACTATGATTTGGAGCATGACGGACATTATTGATGGCTACAACGTGTTTAACTAGATATAATATTTTCAACAATTATCTCTTATTTATTTGGTGTTATTTATCATTAGTGAAGATTCTGGCTAAATTTTAGGGAGAAGTTGCATGTCAAGTTCAGGAAGTGGATGAAGTAGTAGATAGGTGGCAAGTTCTAGAGAGAGTTTTGACCAAGTCTACTTTTGATTGTTCAATTAATAAATGAAGTCAATCATTTACCATCTACTTGAGATATATGAAAGAGAAAAATTCAAAATAAGCAAAAACAAACAACTTTACACACTTGTCAAATTTAACTTTTTACTTTTCATAGTTACTGTTCACATAACTCTCAGATCTTAGTGTTAGCATAGCTTCTAGTCAAATTTAAGTTAATTTTAGCTTCTACAATAATCTCTTTGTTTATTTACTGATATTGAGACAAGTGTTATTTTTTCAAATGTCAACTTATATAGTTTTTGCACTTCTCTTTCATGTTCATGTAATTGCAATCTTAGTTGTCTAATCATCATGATTACTTAGCTTTACTTCAGCTTCAAGCCTATTTAATTTGCCAATTCTGCAATGAGTTAATTTAATTTTGCAATAGCTCATTAGTTTGTATTTCATTTGTTTTTATTTTGGATCTTTAATTTTTTAGTTTACAATGGTATTTTAAAGTCATTGGAGTTATCCACAGTAAATCAATAATCCATTCGATAAGAAAGCATCCCTTTTTTCGCAAATAATTTGAAGGTGTAGAACTCAATTTTAAACCAATGTTCTTCCAACTATCCTAACAGAATGTGATTGTGTAGAAGAAGAGAGTTGTTGGAAAAATCTTACTTCCTTGCTTTATAGCAAAATAAGTGACACCTGCAAATCAAGTTTGTCGAGAGTATCGCTTGAGGATTTTTAAGGAAATAAATACTATAATATTAAAAAGTACTCCCTCTATTCATTAATAGTAGTGATTTTTGACTTCCAAGGTAAAAAGTTTAGGTGATAATTTAACGTAAAGGAAAATGTAAGATAGGTCATCTTTTTAAAAAAAATTTTAGACAACTTGTCTAAAAACCTACATTCTAATTAATATTTTCCAAAATTGACCATTAAATTAAAAGTTTTATTCACGTAGATAATGTATATCAGTTTTTATATTGATCTAATACTTATAATCATTTGATAAAAAAAAAACTCTATTTACTCATATATTTGATAGTGTTAAATTTTTTATAATCAACAAAATAGTTAGACTTATTATAACAATTTGAAAATGGACATGCATAATTTATATAAATAAAATTTTCAATCTAACAATTGGTTTTTAAAAATATTAATAAGAGAATAAATTTTTAGATATATCTTTTAAAAAGGAGAATGACTTATAAAACACTTTCTCCTTTAATAAAACACTTAAATGAAAATGAAAATGAAAATGAAATTTTTTTTATCAGATAAAACTAATATATATGAACTATATATAATTTATTTGTTATATTAAATTTTTACTTAAAACTTTTAATCCTAAAAATTAAAAAAATCAAATTAGATGACCTAGAGTTCAAGGAGTAGTTCTCTTTTATTAAATCCTTTGATCTTAAATATGTTTGCTCTTTTTAAGATTTAAATTTAAAATTTTGAAATATCGAAATCATAGTTTGATATTACCAATTGAAGTACGCTAGGAGGCCTTTTATGGCCTTTTTAAATTGGTTGTGGTTGTTTCATTATTCTGCTATTATAAAATTATGTTATTATTTATTAGTAATTACTCGCACATTAATATAATTAGTAAATTAAGCAACACAATAATTAATAATAAATTAACACTTTTATAAAGTTGTATGAAAAAAAACGTTATAAAAATACAATTCTGTACAACATCCCTTTCAATTTCTAATCTTGCTTTGAACATGAGAGCTAATAATAAATTAACACTTTTATAAAGTTGTATGAAAAAAAACGTTATAAAAATACAATTCTGTACAACATCCCTTTCAATTTCTAATCTTGCTTTGAACATGAGAGCTGATTTCTTCATTCCCTTCGGATGGTAGAAGGGACTGAGGAAAATCAATAATGTTAACAATCAAGATATCAAAAATAGTAATAAAAATTTTTTAATACCCTTAATAAATCAATATGCAAAAATATCGTTTTAGCACATTTAAACAATTTCACAAGTAATTTTGATATTTTAAATACTAAAATGTTTTAATTTTTTTCTTTTCTCGATACCATTATACCAAAAGGAAAAATAGGTTGGAAGATGCAACAATCAGCCTGATACATTTCTCAGTAATACAAGAGCATGCAGTAAACATCACTTTGGGAGTGTACAATGAACAAGCAGATGCTGCTAGAAAATCACTTGATTATCCATCGAAGGGGCAGCAGCAGATGAGTTAGTCTGTAATCAAACAAAAAGGTTCCGTGCCAATGATCTATTGGCTTCCTATATGCACTTCAACTCAATTGTTTCTTCTAGAAAGAGCCTGTAACATAACCAACAATCAGCACAATTTGTATAACCGTAAACTCCATAATGATTTTGTGAAGTAGTAATTCCCCTCCCCAAAAGTTCCTTGTACTCAAGTGAGAATGGTGAGAGTTAACTACAACCAAAATTGACAAGTTTGTGGGATAGGGTGAGGTGTGCTGGGATGATAGAGGAAAAACCATTCATCATTTCTAATCTAAGAGCACAGAGCTTGAGCTGCAACTTTTTAAATCTACTAAAAAACCAAGATCGCTCTTGCTCTCCAAATCCCCTGTCCCTTGTACACAATTTGAATTACTGGCTTCATTTGTTGTGAAAGGTTTGAATGAGAGTTGACGAAAAAAACAAGGGAGACAAAAATCTGGTCATTTTTTAGAAAATATTCTTCAGAATCATTATTCTCAATTTACGAAAAAACAAAAAGGAGAGAATTGAAATGCTAACATCCCTTCTTCTTCTTTCCACACGACAAAAACACATATGACCAATCAGGTGACTCAGAGGTTCAAGACAAAAAAGAGCTCTAATTCCACATTCATAGAAAATCTTAAGACTTTGGGACGATACAATCATATCTAAAACAAATTCCAAAAAGGAAGCATACCTTGCTATCCTGAATGCAATAAAGCACCATTCCCTAATTCAGCTTCCAGATTCCAGCCTCTAAATAGGTATATAGATCAAATTAGCTTCAATGAAGGGCTAATGGCAAAATAGAAATGCAAAGCAGGCAACAATGTAAATTACCTTTCAGAAGCTTCCCTCTTCAGCTCCTCTAAATGGCCTTCAATTTGAGCACATGCAGCTTGAATTTCTATGTTTTTCGGGCAAAGCTCCTTCCATTGTGTGGACAGAGTATTTAGCTCGTATGCAGTATTTTGCTGATGAATTAAAAAAATAAGCATATTTATCTGATTAAAATGCAACCAGATATTAAAACACGCCATATGGTGGATGATTAGAGAGTTAAATACCTGATGAAATTTTCTTTCACGGTTTACAGTTTCAATTTTTTCATTCTGTTCCTGAGCTAATTTTTGCATTCTGCCAATTCAAAGGGAGAAAAAAAAGGGTAATGCAACTGAAGAAAAGTGGAAAAACCATGGACGTACAAAAGAAAAGAAAAGAAAAGAAAAAGGTAAAAACTAGAAAGCCTCTATGAGGGTTCTTTAAACTTTGATTTGTTGACGGAAATGAAACAACATTGTAGGAAATAGGACATTAGAAAATAGGATATTAGTCATAGTTCTAGTTTTGAAATGCACCAGTATGTTCCCCAGAATCCCTACTTCTAGAGCATGCTAGCCGGCAGGCACAAAGATTAAAATCATCAAAAACATCTATAATACGATTATCTTGCTTAACATCAAAAAGATTATCTTGCTCGACAATAGTTATTCTCTATGATTGGAATGTAATCCAAAGAACGGCAGAGCAGTTGAGAGAATGAACATCACAAATGGACATATGCAGCTGCAGGGGAGAAGTTCCTTTAGTCTTTCACTCTTTCTTATATAATTAAATTATTAGAAATTTAGACAGCAGATTGGTTATCGTAGTGAAGGTGATTAATTTGATGATCCAGAATCAATTATTTGAAGGCAGAATACCCAAATCCACCCCCAAAGTATAGTGACAGGGACGGATACACCCCCAAATAAAAAATTGGGACAAATCCACCCACAAAATTTTCGACTTGGACAAATCATCCCAAATTTAACATGTGACGTCATCTGATATCAGTAATTCGTTAATTTGACATCATCTGATGTCAGCAATCCATTATTAGCGACATAAAAAATTAACAGATTGCTGACATCAAATAACGTCACACGTTAAACTTAGGATGATTTGTCCATGGATTTGTTCCCATTTTTTGTTTGGGGGTAGATCTGTCCCTGCCACTATACTTTGGGGATAGATTTGGGTATTTTGCCTTATGTGAATCTTAGTGACCTAAGATTGATTTTGGCTTACACTTCAAATATGCTTTAAAAATATAAGTCATATAATATCACACACCACCATGTTTGACACTCATGGAAATTTTAATTATTAAGAGCATGCGATTCCCAAAAATGGCCCTAGCATAGATGTTTCCAGGATTGGGAAGTGAACAACAAAATTTAGAAGGGTCAAAATTATTTATTTAGAAAGTAAGCACAAAAGCATAAAAATAGATTGATAATTAGGATTAGTTACAACGTATTGTACTAAGCATGCAGCAGATACGAAAAATTCTGATATGAATTTAGTCAGGTGTAAATCTAAACCTGGGCACATCAGCTACCATGGGCTAAAAGATTGATCTGGAGATAAAAGTTATTGGTGAGAGAACCCAATAAAGTTGATCATCAAATTTCAACTAGATGTTCCTAATTCCACTAAAATCAATAAACATACAACTAAGCAGCAAAGTCCAAAATATGTGAGCATATAAGAAGGATATATAAATAACATGAAAAGGAAATGAGATTAAAAAAAGAAAAAAACACATAACATCTATATATAGTCAACGAACAATGACAACCCTTTCCAGTTTTCAGTTACCAACATTGATCAACAATGCCAATCCAATTCAATTCATTATTCCTGCATCAATATTGCAATGATAAAGAAACAGACCACCTTTACGCTTAAGAAATTTGTTTTTTCCATTAAAATGCAGAGTAAAAATGATGAATTTTGAGGAAAGAAAATGATTTCTAACAGGGGAGATAGATAGAATGAAGACAGATCTCCCAGAAAGAGGATATCTACAATTAAATTTGAATAATAGGAGCTAACTGAAAACAAAATATCAATTATAGGCTGACAGGAAACATAGTGATTTAATCTTGTGGGTAACTAAGAGCCTAGAGGGAGATAAAATGACCTGGAAAATCAAAATAAGATCACCACTCAAACGTGATATTTACTTTACCAACCTTTAGCATGCTAATGACACTCAAAACCTACCCTGGTGATCTGATCAATCACTCTCACTTACTTAAGCATCAAAGAAATGTTTGATCATCTAAATGGAAACAAAAGCAATGATCTAACCACCACCTTAAGATTATGATGGTGATCATCAAAATTACCTCATAACAACAGCCCCTTGATTATCTTGGTAATTTGCAACTTAGTCAAATTCTATCAAACCACCCTCTTCCCCCAAAACACATTGTTTCCTTAAAAAGGAAGACCCACTAAATCCTATTTTTTTAGTTTGCTATCCCAGTTCCCAAGCTAATTCCAAACTCAAACATGATTTTGCCACTAAACAACAGCAACATAAACAATTATTAAAATTAAACTACAAAAACTAAAACCCTTCATCTTTTAATACATGAGAAATTTATAACTCAACAGGGTTTTTGAGCCCAGTTCAAAACAATCAACAGATGAATAAAGCCAATAAAATGAATCTTGAGCTTCACATGTTATCTGAAAAATGGACCTGGATAAGAGTGCTTCCAATCGTTGGTTGTTCTGTCTCCAGACATCTGGGCCATATTTCAACATAAGGTCCAGATTCTCCAGCCTGCAGATCAAGTAATAAATTCATAGGTGCAGAAACCTGTATGTAGCACTAGCACATAGGCAACCTAAGAAAATGCTCAAGGGCCACATTTTAGAAACTAGAAAGATCAGTTAGCATTTCAAAAGCAGCAAGTAAAGAAATTAAGGCAAATCACGTTAGGGGTGAAGAGAAAAATATAATGAAAGAAGTGTCAAAGCCCTGCAATTAATTCCTCCAAAAGTTACAGAAGCAGGTAATGAAAAACACAAAAATAACAGGGTTGATTTTCTCAGAACTCATGCAACAATAAAGTTCCACATTAACTAGTTATGCAAAACTAATAATGGTCCCTTTGTCAGAAACAACCACAAGGATACACTATACAGCAAGGAAAAAATATATGATGGTTATTTCTGTGTTGCATAAATACAGCTTACTTTTTAACAGCTGTTACAGCATCATAAAATTTCTTTCTGCACACCATTATATTACCAAATCATGCTAACAGTTAATAAACCCATCAGAAAACAAAACTTTCCAGAATCATTAAGCAACAAGTCATTTTGATAAAGATGATACCACACCTAGTGACTTGATGTTGTAATGAGCGTTGAGCTCTCTGAAGTGACTGTTTCCAACCACTTTCATCATTTCTCTTACTCATTGGCGGCGGTTCTATTTGATATCGTGAGGAAAAATCAAGTGTCACAGGAGGCCTTCCAGCTCTCACACGCTCATACTCTTTGGCGATCATGGGGTGATTCTGAGATTCAAATTACACAATCACACACAAGTAAGTTTTCTTTGCACCAATTACTCTGACTCTGGTTTTAAAAGCTAAAGGTAACCAAATCAACATAGCATAATTTTTGCTTAATTAACATATTCCACAACCCTAGAAAAACTTCAAAAACCCAAAACAAAATAGAGAAAACTAAAAATTTTATCCTTTGTCTCAGCTTATCATTATTAGCTGCCAAATAAATCATGACTTAAATTCCCACAACCCTCATACCTCAAATGCTCATTTCAAACCTCTCTTAACTGTTTAAAAATCTACAGCTAACTCAAATTAAGCCATAGGAAAATGCAAGGCATGGCTGAAATCCCAATCTTCCAGTTCCTCACATTTGTTGAGGAAAAGCAGAATTAGAGCATAACCCACCAGTCAAAACCACCCGGAAGCCCTAGAAACTTAACTCCAAATCAACTCGGGCTACTGAAATACCAAACCAAACAAAAGACAGAACACCTACAACATCGACCCCGTTTTCTTTCCTTTCCCTTTTTCAGAATCTGACGTAAAAAAGGAAAACTATGGGTGAAGAAAAATTACCTCGAAATTGAACTTGGGTAAGGGAGGCAAATCTTTGAGAAAGTCGGCAGGCTTCTTGGTACTCCTGCGCATCTCTTCCTCGATCAATCGATCGACCTCCTCCTTTACCTTTGGATTCCCATAATCGTCATCAATGTAGGGTAATGCGTCCACTATCTCAGCATTCGATGTGCTCGCCCATGGCCGAGCGGCCTCCGGTGCCGCCTCAAGCATGAGGATGTCCCCGTTGCTGCTACCGCCGCTAGCCATTGTCGCTCTCAGCATAGGTACTTCAAGTCTTCAACCCAAAACACCGGTTTTGTGTCCGGTGGTCAGTGTGGGTTTAAGAATGGTTTTGCAAAGAACATCCATTTTTGGCCCGAGTTTTTTACTATTTTGGACCAACATTTCAATTTTGTTTCAATTCAGCCCTTCACATCATGTGACACATTCATAATTTCACATGATACACAAGCTATGAGCCTACTTTGAAAAAAAAAAAAAAAGAGGGATAAAGAGTTCAGATTCACGTCTTCGAAGCGCCGTACCCGAAGTACTACAATATCATTAATGAAATAATATAGTATCTTATTTGTGGCTATAATTCAAATGAATTTATTTATGTGTTATGTTCATGTCAAACTTTCTTAATATGTATTTGACTCTCTTAATTTGTATATAATTAAAATTGTTGATGACTTTAGAATCTTGTTTTCAAAGAGAGAAAATTGAGAAATGATCATATTATTATCAAGAAATAACTAAGAACAAGATTTTGATTGACAAATAAGTATTGGATTTTGATGGAAATCCTACATATATACTGAGCATCTCATTCTATAATTCTGAGTAGAGAAAAGAGTAATAATTATGTTACTTGGGCTGCGTTTAAAATTGTTATTTGCCGCATGGCAAAGGCAGTGGTTGGCAAAAGTCGGGATAATATGTAAGGGATTTTTTTTTTTTCTCTGATTGGCAGATTATATGTAAGGTGGCTAAGCAAATCATAATGCCAATAGTTGAAAGAGTACAAAAGAGTGTGGCACAATTAAGGGTTTGCCTTGAGTTAGAATTCACTAATTTAAAATTCTTGATTTAAGGTCAAGGGACAAGAATTCAAACCTTTGTCCTATTCAAACTTCTATACTATTAAGTTGCTAACCTTTAAGTATGCCCCCCCCCCAAAAAAAAAAAAAGAGTGTGGTCAACGTTTCTCATTATAGATACAAGGTTTCAAACCTTATAACAACCAAAGGAGATATGTCATATAAAATTTTACATAATAAAACCATCCCAATCTTAAAAACCACAAGATTCATCTCAGGCGGGTAACATTTGGGCAATACAAGCAACACTAAGAAAAAAAACCAACAAAATAAAAAGATTCATAACAAAGAAAAAATGGTAAATCACACCCCGCAAATCTGCTCAAAGCATCATACATCTAACCTTTACTCGATATATACTCTTCAAGTAGATGGATTGACCTGCAAATATTACAGAGAAATGCATATTACAAACACAGAAAAGTTTGTCAGTCCAGAATAGCAAAAGAAAAATGTCAGTCTATTGAAAATTATAAACATATTCTTAATGCCATTGAATTTGAGTGTATTGATGAAAGGGCATCTTTCCAATTTCAGCCTGGACTGCCTTTTTCTTTTGGCCAGTGTGGATTGGGAAACAGCATTCTATCACAAACATACCCAATTCTTTGCGTTAGATTGAAAACCATACAATCACCATTTATTAATGAAGGTAAAATGAAGTCAATTGACAACAACAATGTCGATTTTCTCTGGTTTGGTTGCATTTGGATCCCTCTATTTTTTTCAAACCTTAGCTGCTATGCAATTTAAAATCACACTTTATTATTTTTGTAAGAAGCATATGCATTATATTTGGAATTTTGGATCGTTCAAAATTCAGTTTGCTATTTGATAGAAGCAATAGTTTAGAGTGATTATATAGGCAGAGGATAAATTTTCTGCAAGTGGAAAGGAGATATCTCAATCTCAAAATGTAGAAAAGGAGAAGTAAAGTCAAACTGGTATTTCTAGTATTGTTTGGTGAATATAGCAGAAATTTCTAAGAAAACAAACCAAATACAGCATTCAGCAACAAATTGACACCATTGTGCACCAAAACTTCAAGGCAAAGCTACTTATTCATGTCCAACCAGAGTTACATAACAAAAAAGAGGGGAGAAAGGTTTCACCATATTATCTTAGGCAACATGCCAACATCATTTGCTCTTTATTGTTAAAGAAGATAATGTGAGTGCAAAAGGGGGTTCAACAAATTGAGGGGTTTCTTAGTTTCGTTGCCTTTTAGTGTTCACAGGTGTTTTCCGATATGAAATTTGGTTTGTTATCTACGGAAGTTTTTTTCCTAATGAAGCTAATCATGGGAATGCACATGTGTCCGTGCAATTGTGTATGCATGTGTGCACAATGTAAAAATTTCCATCTATATTCTAGCTCGTGTTTCTTGCCAATAAAACAATGTCATAACAAAAGTTCACTGTGAATCAAACACCAGAAACATATAAAGACAGACAGAGGGTATATGACCTAGTACTTTTCATGCTTGCATTATTAGGCATGCTGATGTTCTAAATGAGAAAATTTCAAGGAAGTATCTAAATGAGGAGGATCTATTCAATTACCATATGATGCTACAAAAACAAACCAACAAACCTGACTAATGTGGTGATGAAGAAGTTGGCACTATAGGCATCGGAGAAGGTTCTCTTTGCAGTTCCTTAACAACGGCTGCCAATGCTTCAGGATTCAGACCCAAGTCACAGAGTGCTATGAGCACTGAAAGGGTATGCCTATCAAGCCCTGTATCAAGAATATTTGACATGTGAAATGCCAGGTCCAGAGATTCTCGAGCTGTACGTGCAGCTTGTTCAGCTTCTGGATCCATAACAGTATGCCTCTTACAGGAATTTCCCTCTAAAATCTGCTTGGGCTGACCAAATTTACAAAATAGGGTAACAAAATATCAGACTAAGTACCCTACTCTACACCCTTCTACAATATATAATATCAACACAAACCATCAGAGCTAACACTATCATTCTTAACTAAAAAAATCAAAACCAAAAAGTGAAAGGAGAACTTCTAAAAGTTGAGTTTTTTTTTTTTTTCTCAGAATTTTCAGACTACCCAATTTTGAATGCAATTACAAAACTTACAATCAACCCCATTAACCAAACGTCTCTAAGAGAACGAATAACTCGAAAATTCAAATAACCAGAAGAAAAAACTCACCTTCCGGAGATGTTGAGAAGAGAAGAAAGAACAATTCCAACTTCCAACCCCAACTCGCCCTACGAAACTGGAAAAGGCATCCCCTTTCCTTTCAGACCTCACCAAAAAGACAAGGGGGCGTTTATGGGCTGGGCTATTCATTCAGGCCCGCGAGTGCAGCCCACTATTCATCCTGGTGGTTGGTAGGTTGACCGATACTGTTCGACGGTTGGTAGGTAAAGACGTAAAAGCAAACTTTGGTTCTCAGTTTTTTTTTCTAGAACTGCAAAAATCAGTGAGGAAAGAGGCGATCATGGGGTTTTACTCGACGGCAATGGACGCGGTTATGGAGTACACGGGGCTATCCCCGGCGGGGTTCTTCACGATCCTTGCTCTTATGGTCGTTGTGTACAAAATGGTCTGCGGCATGTTCGTGGGACCGGAAGAGTTCGACCAGAAGCACAGAGAGATCACCATGCCTGGTCCGGCGGCGGTTCCTGAGCCGGTTCAGTTGGGAGATGTTACTGAGGAGGAGTTGAGAGCTTACGACGGCTCTGATCCTAGAAAGCCTCTGCTAATGGCCATCAAAGGTCAGATCTATGACGTCTCTCGTTCCAGGTACAAAAATCACCCTTTTTTTTTTTTTCTTTTTTACTTCCTTCCTGTTTGTTTCTCGGAAAATTGCGTAAAAATGAAATGGAAAAAAAAATTAATTGCAGGATGTTTTACGGGCCTGGAGGACCATACGCTATGTTTACCGGAAGGGATCCGAGCAGGGCGTTGGCCCTGATGTCATTCAACCGGGAAGACCTCACCGGGAACATTGAAGGGTTAAGCTCCGACGAGCTCGAAGTGCTGCAGGATTGGGAATACAAATTCATGGAGAAATATGAGAAGGTTGGACGGATTGTTCTCGAGAAAAGTACCAACAATAACACTGAAAATGGAGGTAACATTAAGGAGAAAGAAAATGGAGCAGTAGAAGAGTAGACGATATTAGGGATGAAATAGAATGGGTGCTTTTCTTGTACTGTAAATGGAATCAAATTGTTCATCCTTCCTACCCTGATGAGACAAACATTAGTTTATGATGCCAGATTCAGTCGACGTTTCACAGGTTATCGATTCAGCAATGAGCTAAAAGATAGATAGAACAGCAAAATTAATGTAATAATTTGTTACTTTTTTATTGTTTACATCGATCTTGAATGAAAATGGAATGTCCAATTGAAGAATACAAACCGAGAACTATGTTGTCTTATGAGGATGGCATGTTCGCGTAAAGGAGGGTGAAGAAGAGTTCAACTTCTGGAACGCTTTGTATGACCTTGATAAACTGATTCTGGTTGGGTTCATCAACCAGAGACAGACCAGTCTGTGCAATTAGTGGCAAGAATTTTGCCAGGGGCATTCCGGATGTTTGGCTGCTTCCTCCAGATTGAAGGCTTAGGTCCTCAACCAGTGCATCCACTACTGCTTTCAATGATACTTCAACAACACTGCCAAATTCGGCACTGCAATGAAAGAAACAAAACATTTGAGTTAAAGAAAAATTCCAAAAAGTGAGCAGGATGGGGATGGGGTTTTGATAATGTATCTTGAATATTTTCTTTAGAAATTTGCAAACATATTACGCATAATAAGGGATGATGAACAAAGCAAGAATAAGTCTGATGGAGTATACATCTATCAAAGGCTTAGTGATCACTTCTGTTCACCTAAATCCAATGTTGCAAAAATAAAATGCATGATGGGAAAGAAAGGCACGAGGTAAGAATATATGTTTAGTCAAAATTTTACAAAAGTTAACAAGCAAATAACGGAAGAACACTTTCAAGCAAGAGTTTGGTTACCAAAGAAGATAACAAAAAATGATGAGATCATAGCTTCATTATGCACAACATTCAATGCATACAGATCTCCATGGTCCTATGTTTGAAGCCAGGGAATAAATCCATGCATTGAGCCCCATGTTAAATTTGCGCATCATGACAATTAGCCATATATCTGACAAACTAAGGTTAGATACTACAATAGTACTCCTAGACTGCTGCATGTGAACACTCTGGTAATACTAGCCAAACACTCCCCCACCAAAAAAAATAGGTGGCCATTTGGGTATGTGAGCAGATTATTGTAAAATCAGCACCTTCGACACTGTAGCCATAGTTTGAGGTGCAATGAAACCATGCACAATTGCTCAAAAGCCCAGGTTAAATTTTATAACAACATATAATGCCTCATCAGTAGCATATAATACAAGTAATATTTCTCTAGGCCAGTATATTAAAGGTACCTTGTTAGCACTTCTTTTGTCTCCAACATTAGTTGGTCGAATTTGGTAGAACCAGAAAGAATTGTGTTCTCATTGGTGGGAGCTGTAGAAATTTCATTCAACCTTGAATTTTCAGGCATCAAGCAATCCACCCAGTGATGGGGACTTCCCATGCTCATGAACATGTCTAGTATCTGCATGACAGTTTCATGAAGCACTGTAGCGTTGAAGAAATCCTTCAAATGCTTTCTGCAAACAAGGATCCAAACCAAATAAGTGTAAAAGAAAAAAGCAGAGTAAGTCTTTTATTCTAATCTAATATCCTTGACTTTTAAATAAAAAATCATTCCATTAGGTTTATTGTCTGCCAGATGATTGAAATTTTGAAGCAGCACATTCTTAATCTTAAAGAGGAAGCATGCATTGCTCATTTCTCAGTTTTTTGCATTTCCATTCCTCCCTTTTTTTTTTACTCCCATTTTTGTTAGAAAGTAATCAAATGTGTTTAGAGAGTATGTCAGAAGGTTTAATTTGTTCTGATTTTCTTTTGTTTTTAGTTTCTTCCCTCTGAACATTTTTGTGTACTTCTGCCATTAATGCATGAAAAAAAGATGATTTCTGCAATCCCTCTGTGATCAATATCTTCAAGATCCACCTAGACTACCTAATCTTAACAGTGCTTAAAGATTATAAAGGTTGGTTGAAGGGAGGTTGTGTGAACATCAAAATTGTTTCTGGTTCCAAGACATTGAGCTTGGGTATCAATTCCATGAGTAAGAAAATTCATTATCATGATCATCTCACTTTGGACAACTGCCCACCCTATCACCTCCTTTTTGATTAGGAGAAAGAACCTCAACAGGGATCTCTTTGACATCAAATCAGATCAGGTCTTAGATGGAAGTTAGAGATCAAAAAGTGCTCAGTCACCAAAGCCATAGTTTCAAACTTGTTATAGGCCTTAGTGAATCCTATCTTGAATTCCACTCATTTTGGAATAATAGTTTGAAGTTCAGTATCTTTTAAAAACAAAACAAAATAAAGAAAAAGTGTTTTACAGTCCGGAACAGTCTAAACTGTAAAACAACTGACTCAAAAAATAATAATAATAATAATAACAAATGTAGCTTAGTCATTTACAAGATTAATGTAATGATGGTTAGCAGTCAAAACTTTGGTAGAGGTTAAAGGTAAGAAAAGACTTATTACTTTGTGATCTTCTGGAGAGTAGTCTTTTAGCGAATGAAATGAAAATGAAAATGAACCTAGGCAACCCCAATTGGTTTGTGATTAAAAACTCTGTTGAGTTGATTTGAATTTCTAAGACAATCAATTTCAATTCCCACTAGTCATTACTTCAAACCACAACTTTCAGTTTATCTCAATGCAAAACTACTTTCTAGAATAGATAGGAAATCCTCACCCCTTTAAAACTTCAGTGGCTGCTGCCTGCATGTTAGAAATCAAGACAGGCATGCCATAACTAGCAAGAAAATCAGTACTTGCCAGATATTTCTGCTGGTTGTCCCTCTCAATGAGATCAGCATCCTCCTACAGGAAAGGAATGAAGACAACTTTAAAAGAATAACAAGATAAATCAGGCTACTTCAAAAGAGCAATAAACAAGATTTAAGTTGTGAATGAATAACAGAACTAACAAGAGAGACTTACAATCCAAAATGAAAAAAACAGTACCAAAAAAAAAAAACACAACCATGAGAAAGATCAAAGAAACAAGGAAACTAAAACAAAGCTAGAATTCTTGCATTAGAACTGCAAGCGTTAAGATCAAAGAACAGGAAAAATTTTCAGTTCCATGCATATAAGTTTCTGCACCTCTGAAATATCTAACACATGATAGAAATTAACATAACTGTAAAGTGTCAATGTTGCAAACAGATCAGATCTAAGATTTGATTGTATTTTTTTGTGTGGAGTCATTGCCAGGTGTAAAATTTATGATCTCCCTGCAAATCTCAGAAAAAGACTACTATTTCATTTCACTATTTAATAGTTTATCTGATATCCTGCACTGCATCTACCAACTTATATTTCACTTTTACTTCTGAGCAAAGAAGACATAGCAAATGGCTATCACATGTGGAAACACTGGTGTTACCAAACCCCACACCTCAAGGACTTGACTTAATTACCTATAAACTGATCAACACCAGTTTCTAAGGTTACAGAAAAAGTCACTCGCTAGTTTTGTATGAGTTTCAAAACTCAGAATAGCCCACAAAATGATGAGAATAGGCAAATTCTTGTCGATAAGTTAAAGTGAGGTGGGAAACCATCTCAATGATCGGCTTTATTTATTTATTTTTTTAACCTGACTTGTATTATTTTATCTGTATGCAGAAGAGCAAATGGATAGAATAATACAAGTTTTTTTAGAAAGACAACATGCCAAATTTGTAAAAGACAAGACAAAGATAAACTGTTAAAAAAAATAAAAGCTCATAGCCCCTAAAGTGCAAGCACAGATAACATGGTCATCAAAAGTACTAATATACTGTCACCATTTATGACCTGAAATGCCTCCCCTAATCCTCTCTTCAAAATACAGTGTCACAAAAAATGTAAAAGAACTATCATCTAGCCAAGAAATTCTCCTTTTTCCGGAGTAATCCATGCATCCTGGAAAGGTAAACATTACCAAGAAAGAAGAAAGCAAAATTAAAAATGCAAACCCATCAAATCAATAAGATTTCTCTCAGAGAATAGTCCATGTAGGAGAAAGTTGAAAAGAGAACTTCAAAAAAACTTGGATTATGCCTAGTGAAAGACATGAAATAAGGCCACAAAGGTACGTGGATGTCCGACACCTACCAAAAAGAGAAAGAAACAACAACCATAAAGAGGACTGTTTCCCATACACCCCTACCCAGACCAAACTTCTTCTAGGGTCAAAATGGTGACTTTTAAAGAAGAGTCATAATATACAATATCAATAAAATATTTCTTCCCTAACAGCAAAGATAACTGAACTGAAATTAGAGAATGTATAGAATATATTAATCTGTCGGTTAAGGAGCATTAACCAAAAAGGAGTGATCAGAAATTCAGCTACTGCTAGAATCCAAACTATTATGGAGTTGAAACCAACTGTATTAAAAAAATATGTTAAGAGAGGCTCTTACAGGTAAATGGGAGCTTCCAAGACCACGTGCTGTATCAATATACAAATGTCTTCCTAGAATATTGACTTGAACCCTAATATATAAGCTAAGCATTGTTACTGCCCACATAGACACCACCATTCTTGTGAAACCTGGAAAGCCATACAAGTGTCAACAATTAGAAATCAAATATCCAGAACAAGAATAAGCTATGCTCTTGAAAGCACCAAAAAAATAATAAATATGAAATTTAGGGCATCATACTTAAAATTTTGAGTCTATCCCATAATTCAAGTTTCTCTGAAGATGACAAACTGTTGGGCTGGCCCTTCCCTTTCTTTAGCTTCTCAGTAAGAAGGGAAAGGTCCAGTTCTTCAGCTAACCGATTACTTAAATAATGCATTGCATGAGGCAATGTTGTTGTTTCAGCTATTCTTTGAATATTCTCAAAATGGCCTTGCAATCTATGAGCAGTAAAGAAACTAGAGAATGTGAGTACACAGTTTCTAATATAGAATCAAAATAGATGAAAACACAAACGCAAGAATAAAAAGGAGAAGAAAGATCTCTCTTAACTGGGCTTTAATGAGTTCATCATTTTCCCTCTCACTTGCAAGTTCCCTTTCCAAATCAGCAAGACTACGCTTTCGAGCATTGTATAGCTTATACAAAAGATACCCACTTCCCAGAACACCAGCTGTAACCAAAATCTTCCTCTTGTGCTTTCTCCAAAGATCCCTACATTGTGAAAAGTGAACCAAGTTAAAGAAAGCAACTGAGTCAGCATGTGTAGTAATCATGGAAAACTTCAATGATATGATAAAACTACCTACAACCCACAATTGGCCCGGCAAACTGGAAGGGAAAATCAATTGAAACACAAGAACAAGTATATCCCACAAATCCCATATAGGAAATATACAAAAGTACAGAAACTATGAGATAAAACAGGCAGATAGAGCAAAAACAAACAATTTCAACAGTTACCCAGAAGAAAGAGAAAAGAAAAGCATAAAAACTGACCTTAAAGATAGCATATTGGATGCTATGGATCCCAAACATCCATCACCAGAAATCCATAAACCCTGAGTGAAGGAATGGAAAAGGTAGATGCTTTCGGGAGGGAATAGAGATGGGAGTTACAGGCGGGCCTAGAACAACCCGCCCTTTAACTAGGGATTTTGAATTTATGAATTAGGAAAGAATTTCGGCACAGCTAAAGAGAAGGGTAGCAATCCAAAGACTGCGTTGAAGTTGATAATTGATAAATGGGCAGCAGAAGAAGAAGAGTACCGTCTAATTTCTTTCTCTCGAGGGATTCTCTGTGAAGTGATGATATTAACTGTCTATAGCCCTC